GTCCATGTAATCTTTCCTTTTCTTCTTTTCTTATGGATCATAATAGTAACCGGGTGATAGACAGTGTAACAGAATATGAAAGTTTCAAAGATAGTATTGCTACTGGATATTGTTGCCCATACTGTAGCAGTGGTTTTCCTTAAGTAATATCAACCTCGTGCAAAATGAGAGTTTCCCTGTATGTAATGAAGAGCCAGATTCTGAGTGTAATGGAAAAAATGAAATATATGTTGGCTTCTCGGACAGACCTCCTTAAAAGCCTCATTTTATTATCCATTAATTCCATCTACCACTGTCAAAAATTGAGTTCCTGTTTAAACTTTTTTTTTTCCATTTGAGAATTTTATTATCATGTTTAAGACTTCTGAGCTACATCTAGGTTAGTAAATCAAGCTCAGCTCAACTCAACTGTTCTCTAAATGTGATTCCTTCTTGCCATAGAGTGATCTGCATCCATTACACTACCTCGAAGTCAAAATAGGTGGGCTGCATCCCAGCCTTCTGCTGGGGGTGGTCTCTGGTCCTTGCTAACTCCTGAACAGAGCCAATGAATTGTTTGAGAAATTACTACTTGGTACAGGTAAAAATTGTCTGAGGCTACTCAAAAAATGTTGCCGGATATGCATGTGTGAATTCCAGAGCTCAGTGAGATTCCCAGGCACTGTTTCATTTACTGGTGGACATAAACCATCATGTTATGATGTGTTCCCTAGAAAGATTGCCTATTTGGGGCAACTGCGTTTCAGTTCGTTCCTTCCACTAAATCAGTGTTTGCATTCTTCAAAACAGCTATGCAATCTCACCTCTTGACCCTTATCTACTCTTTCTTAATGAAAAACAGTGTGCTCATAGTTTTTCACGCACGTATACTAAGCGGAGAAACCCTTCCTCAGCCTAGTGACAGTCTAATGTCTGAAGAATAACTGCTGATAACAGGGGAGAGGCTCATCTTTAACTTCAAGCAATTACACATCACAAGTGGAAGACTGGAGAGAACGGTGGGACTCCATTAAGGTTTCAGTCCTCTAAAAGCCTATTTGGCAACCTTACCTCACACTGCCCGTCCATGTCTCATTCCAAGCTTCATGAAACATTTGATTTGAATTTACTTTTCATAACAAATGACTCTGCAAAGGGATCACTTACTTTATTTCAATTATTTCTACTGTCATTAGGGAAAGGTGTCGCATCTTGCAGAATGAGATTTATCTGAAGACATTTTGCTGCACTATTCGAGAGACACTGTAACAAAGTGTTGGTGCTACTGGACTGTAGGATTCCGAACTGTTGAGATAACCAATATATGGGTATGAGGAAGAGTACAGTCATAGGAACTATATTTCCATATATTGCTTTCTGTGGCAGCATTATTTCTCCCCGTATCCAATTGAAATGCTCAGCTGTCTACAATGCCTTTAGTTGTATAACAAAAATAACAATAATATTTAGAAATAATGACTTTTAGAATAATTTTAGATGTATTTTCTTTTATCCCACAAGCTATTCATTTACAAAGATAAAATTAGAGACTTTATCTATGTCAATTAAGGTCACTGAAGACAAATTGAACCAGGCACATCAGGGAAGAAAGAAAACCCACGTGATTTGCTGTTATCATAAGAAATCAATTTAGCCTCAATGCTTGGACATGACATTTTTGACACATGTAGAAAGACACTTCCTATATCGAGAAAACTAAGGTAATTAAAGTTTGTCTTGTATTCCTTATCATGAAATATAAAATCTAAAATATTCATAAACCAAGTCAGAATGAATTTCTTCATGAAATCTCAAATGATTTAATAAACACTGATGACAGAAGTCTCACAGAGCTTGAGGATTCTATCTTATTTTCAATAAAGTATTCATGTTACCATCTAGTGTCTTAAACCTTCTACTCATCTTTGCAGCATATTTCTTTCCTTTCAGGGAGCAGGGTAAGCTACTCATATCTTAACATGACATTTTTTTCTCCTGGTAAGCACATTCCCATGAGCTTGAAGACAAAACATTTCACTATTCCATTTTTCACCATCTGTAATTTGTTGTCAGATAGCTGTTTACAATATCATACATGAACCCATTTTTCACCATCTGTAATTTGTTGTCAGCTGTTTACAATATCATACATGAAGTAGTTATCTGTAGCACAACTGCATGGACCAATTAGGCATAGAAATGTATGCACATTTTTGTGTTTGCAATTACTATTGGAGTAATCAAAATCTCATAAAAAAACCCAACAAAATCAAGTCAAATGAACCTTTTCAGCTTATCTCATAGTAGAAAAATCAAGTCTACATTTGAAATGAGAAGCAAATAAATACGCAGACACTAAATTTCCGTGTTCTTCTGTGGCTGCATTTTTAAAGCAGCGAGATAACTGTATTTCCAATAATAATAGTGGTAAGCTGGATAATGACTTCTCATGATTCATGAACTAATCTGATTGTCCACTGGGATCATTAAAAACATCCTGCCTTCCTCTCATTTACATCATGGATATGTGTCCAACTGGCCACTGCTGGAGTCAAGATAGCAGACACCATTAGTCCTAATGGTCTGATCTGCTGAGGCCAATTCCTCTTTTCTATTTATGATTTCTCTGTGCTGTAGAAAACCACTTGTGCTTTATAACTTACAGAGGAGAGAAAAAGGAAGAGAAAAGGAATTTGACTTAGGATATCCCCTTTAACATATTTCATCAAAAGAAAGGATAAAATATTTATTCAGCTGCTGTCCTTTGCATTCCCATCAAAGTGAATAGAGAGGCATTTAATAACACATGGAAACATTAAAGAAGCTTTTTATCAGAGTGGATGGGAACCTGCTCAGAACAAACATTCTGGCCTAAGGGAAAGTTTTTGATCTGTGAAGCTTAAGCTTTTGGTGCTTAAAACACTCTCATATTGGATCATGTGGTCAATTTGCATGAAATAAATGATTTGCTTAAAACTTGTAAAACTATAAAATAGAACTTGACAAGTCATTAGCAATAAGTGGTATTGCACTGGCATTATGCTAACACTGGTGCAATCATTAGAAAACTGCTGCTACAGCAGAGAACAGGAAGATAATGGGGCCAGCCCATACTTTGACCTAGAGGTGTTAGATCATTGTCCCACACAGTAGATACCACACTGCGGTCCAAATTATTGACTATCCTTCTTAATTACTGATCTACTCAACATTCCGAGCCACTGCCCTTTATCGTTTTTCACACAAAACAATTAGTCCATGTTACAAAACTTATCACTTCCTCTATCCAGGGATAGGTGATCTAGTTTAGGCAAAAGCAAAGAAAATTAAAAAAAAGAAATAAACTTTAGGCTAGGGTTTTAATTAAAACTAGCAGAAAGAATGAGATTATTCACCTGTTCTTCATTAATTTTTGTACTTTTTTTTTTTTCATTCTGAACTAGGAATTCAATTGATGAAGTTTCTGTATGTTGTCAGAGGTTGCGGATGTAATTTTTCTATTCTGTTTGGCAACAAGTGGTATTCAACATCTCATTGGCTCAATTTGCAAATTCAACATGATTTTTTTAAAGACATAAAGTGTTTGGAAAATGATGGCTAGACATCTGGGTTCCTGAAGTTTGCCTACTGTTCATTTTAAGGCTAGAGTGATTCTGTGATGATATTGGTAAATATGAACGTGTGATTATTGCCAAGATAGGAGATATATGTGTAAAACCATTTCTTCTTTTTACCATGTGTTGCACAGCACCTCCAATGCATTGATTTTGTCAATGTGTCGACGTTTTGTCAGTGGCTCAGGCGTGTGAGTCAAGTTTGTGCAGCTCCATGTCTGATATTTTATACAAATCACAATATGAACTGAAGTACAAGCTTGCATATTATTTGTCTGCAATTGTACATATGCTGATGAGATGCAGTAACATTAAGACCATGGTGCTCAAATCCCACTGCTGTCTTCAAGGTGATGTTTTATTCCTGCATTCCCCATGAGTATACGTACCTTTGTAAAAGGAGAAGGGTAAGTATCATGCTGGAGTTTCCAAGGCTCATTAAGATCTTAATTTCTCTTCTCTAAGTCTATCACCAAGCATGATGCATGGCTTTGGGTTTCTGATGTAGAGCTCGAGCTGAGATTTAACTGCCTGATTGCATGTGGACTCTGGTGCAGTGGATATATGCTGGTGCATATGACTGAATTGATATCATATTTAACTACTTGATTTTATTTCACAGGTAACAATAAACTGTGCTTTCCAAATGACATGACATGATAGTGATAGAGAAAGGAGCTAGAAGGAAATAAGGAAACTGCAAACAGGTGTTATAAACCAGAAAAGAAGCCTAAGTAATATCAGTGCAGTAAATATGTTTGTGAATCTTTAGGGAGATATTTTGGATAAAGCGTGGTATCTGCACATAGAATGGGCCAGTACAGAAAGTCACAGTTCAATACTATGAGAAAGTAGAGTTCAACACTCCCAGAGAGTGGAGATGTTCTAGACAGCAGCTGGAATCAGAACCTTGTCAGAGTTTACAGTGCATGACCTGGTTGCTGTTGGCTAATTAAGAATAATCCTTAAGGATGAAAAACATAATAATTTTTACTGGTGTTTCAAGAAGTAATAAGTGGACTTGAGGGAACAACTGAAGTTCATTTTTTTGACAGAAGAAATAAATTGTACTATAGAAGAGGCATCATGAATATGTAGCCTTATTATCACAGTATTATTCTTCAGAGTTTTTTCGTCTAATGAAGAAAAATAGAACTGTAAGCATTTCAGCATATGCTTGAATCACTTGGACTTCATTGATTTAAAATGTGTCTCTTAAAAATAAATTACTTAATTTGTTGAGAAATACATTTCCTTCTTATGGTGTCTGGCAGATAATAGCTTTTACGCACAGTGTAATATTTTAACCATGAACAATTCTGAAGGGAGCTCAGCCTCCCAGTGAATCTGTACAGGCCATTAGTAAATACATTTTCTATGCTTCTTAACCTGTATACTTACATGCAGGACATAAGGAAATGGTACCACCTCGTCTTCTTCTGGAACACAGTCCAAGAAAGAAACCAGCAGCTATTGAAGGCGAGTCTGAGTTTTTTCTTCCATTATGGGCTTCTACTCGTTAACTCGACTCTCTGTTCTAATAGATTTTGTTTATAAATAGAACCTGTATTAAAAACTTGATCAAAAGATTAGTCTTGGGACAAGAATGGCACAATTATATTTGCATGACAAGACCTAAATATTCCTAACAGTAGTCCCAGAGATGGCTCAGGGGATTTCCTGAGTGAGATAGATTACGGGATCAAGGCCTTAACTGTAAAATGATTTGGATGGTGTTCAGCCTTAAGTTGCCATCTAACTGTAAACATAATCATTATCCTCTTAATATACTTTGGATTATTCTTTCAGCTATTGTTATTCAGTAATGTTTCTGTGTATTATCTGTAGTAATGAACATAATATTTCTGGCTCTGCATTTATCAACCCTATTCCTACTCTTAAAACCACTGAAAGAAAAATACGAAGTCAGATCTTACCTTCAGAAGATTAAAACATAACCCCTGCAACTGAATTATACTGTTTATAGTCTAATCATGTCAGTAAAATGGTTGAAATATGCATTTTAATTTTAAAATGGATGATGTCTAATGACTTACAACTACTACTACATTACTCATTCTTGGTTTCTACACCATAAAATTTCATAGTACAAAACATGTGAGTCTTTTAATGTAAATATATGGCAGATTTCATATAATACTTCAGTCATTCAATCACATCGTGGCACTTGCACATTGGTCTCATAGAGGTCTTAGTTCTATGTTATCCAGAAAGCAATTGCAATCTAAGAGAAAAACAGATGGGATGGCAGCAGAATAAGTAACAAGAGCTACAAGATTTGCCTGCATTTGGAAACAGAAAATGAGAGTTAATGATTTTGGCAGAACCTATGACTAAAACAAAGAGTTAAATTAATTAGGTATTACTGTAATGTGATTATCGTGAATCAGAACATATGGATAAAAATAGTTATGTGACTTATTATGTCTTTGCCCAAAATCTATTTTACCTCAAATGAATATTTCTTTATAAACACACTGTTCAACGAGTACAAAATTGTGGTTATTGTGACATAATATAGTATATAAATAGATTTGCAGTCCTGCCTATTTTAGGGAAATGTTTGAACTCTGCTTATCAGCAAAAAGAAGTCCCTGCAATGTTAAACACTGTTATCCACCAATTAACCATCATGGAAAAAAGACATAATAGAAAATACTGTGGCATTTGCTGAGCGATAAACTTAATCTTTAAATATAACTGTTATACAACATGAACTAGCGTCAAATTAACATTAAGTTCTTGATTTTCAAAATCATGAGGAGCATGCAATTACTGCAATTGCACATGGAAATGACTATTTATGACCAGTTACACATTTGTGTGTTTCATTAGCTCATTTATGCATGCAATTGAGGTAATTGTGAATGTAAATTAGACACCCATTTGGCAAACAAATTGGGGCGCCGATTATCTGCTCAGAATCATGCAACTAAATTCCCTTTAAGTCTCAAGGCCAGTCACTAGGATACAATACTGTTCATGCAAGAGTTTTGCAAGAAACGAAGGAGGAAGAATTGCAAAATGCCCCTGTGAAAAGCTGCTGAATTGCGCTACTGTGTCGTTTCCATATACAAGAAAATATGCCACGGTGCCTTTAGGAACCCTGAAGCTTTATTTCAGCCCTGGAGAAAATAATTAAGAAATTCATGGGAATATTTGCCACACTGTCAGAAGGGAAAAAGAGGAGTAGGCAGAGAACTTTAAATCTCTGAAGAATCTCTGTGACTTCTTAATTCTTACATACCTTATGACTGGTATGTCACTGAATATCACTGATCAGGTGAAGGAACAGATTGAAACAGAAGATTCTTCTTATTGTAAATATAGTTGAAGATAGTATAATAAGCTTTAAGAATTGGGAACAAGTACAAGAATTTCTTAATTGAGAAATGTACTTTACATAACACAGAAGAAACTGTCCCAGGCTTTGACAGAAGCAACCAGCTCTGAAAAAAAGGTAAAACCGTAGGAAGTAATAGAATGGTTGTCCCACAGAAAATTTATAAAACCGATCTGTTTAGACCCTAGGCTTTCCAACTCAGTGATATTCAGACACTAGGTACAAAACAATTCAGCTGCTAAAGGCTGAAAATATTTTACTTTTTTTCTAGATTGAGATGTTTTCACTATGTTTTGCTACTGCCTTCTTAGGTAATCTTGGATCATTCTTGGTTTCTAATAAGGTGGAAATAGTAGCAGCATGCATGCCAGATGTCTCTAACATTTTTAGATGATTTGATACTTTCAAATAGAAAGCTTTTCCTGCATAGGATCCAATGCTCAATAGAAACTATGCTCTGCTGAATTCACGAGGTCTTAAAAAAACAGAATATTGTTACTATGTATTAAACCTCAACGTTTTTCTCCTTGTCATTGCTATTTTCCTTAGGTGAAGGGATCTTTTGGAAAAGGGATAGTTATGTAAAACAATCCCAATTTGTGCACTATATTCATATTCTAGTAGTATGTAATATGCATTGAAGCGTGTGCATGTGAATCAAACTTTTCAGATATCACCTGGTTGGAAAGCAAAATGATTTGTACTCATCTGGTCAGAAGGGAAAAGAACCGTTCATTGCTCTCCTATTTCATGGTGGTTTAGCTCTTTTCAAAAAGCACTGCTGTCTTGAGATCTTAGAGTCAAAGTTCAATGAAGGGTTTGAAGTTTCAGGTCACCAACAGAAGAGAATAACAAAACAAAACAAAAGATCCTGTAACAATAAACAAGAGAAAGAGGGAAAAGGGATTTGTGAAGAGAAAGACATCGACACCTAACTTCTACTTCTGTTCCAAGCTTGGAACCCTTGTTTGGCAAGCCATGAAGGAAAATAACTCATTTTAAATTCTTTATCTTATCTCTTTCTGGAGCTTTCACAAGGACTTGGAAGCAGTGCTCTCAGCTTGGCTGATACTCTGATGCCGAGATCTAGGGAGGACACTGGTGCTGACTGTGATTTGAACAGATCTGTTCTCCATGGCTGTCTGAACTTTGACTTTAATATGCTTCTTCCTTGACTGTAGTCTTCTCCACCTCTTTCAACTCTACCTTTTTGTATTTTGTTATCCACTAACATCCTAAAACTGCTCTGCAGTGTGCACTGATTCTCTGTGAATCTCTCTCTCAGGTCTTGACTTTTTTGCTCGGCTCACAGAGCTGAGCATTTCCCCGTTCACCTGAGAAGGACTTTCCCTTCTGTTAGTCCTCCCATGTTGTGCTCTCTCATATGGCAGGATAATCTCTCAGGAAGATGCTGCAGTTAGACAAGAAATGTAGAAACTAAGCTCAGAGGCTTACTTAGTTATTAGTAAGGCTTCATATTAATTGTTCCAGAATGCGATGTCTCTGCTTTCTGACAAGATCACAGCACCTTTGTGAGAAACCTGTATCAAAATCCTTCTCTCAGTGGAAGATGTCTTAATGCATATTGCATATGATCTTAGACAGTATAATTTGTACCACCTCGAAGATCATTGTATCACAACAAAACTTTGAACAACTTTGTATCTGAGTATGATTTTCCAGGTTATATTGTCCTAGAAATCAATGCATGTATCTTTAGGTAAGAGAGTATTTGTCATGGAAGAATCAACAGAATAACTGTTCTGAGCTGTTAAAGGATCATAATGGGCTCTGAAATATCCCAGTCCCTTGACAGGAGTATACTGGCTATTCTTTGCCATCTTGCTGGTATTGGTAATACCAAATGAGGTAAGAAAGAAAAATCTAAAATCTCTGTAACGTCTTCAGAGGATCTGTTAGGAAAAAAAATTATTTTCTCTCAATCACTGTTTGAATTCTCTAATTACAGATTTTACAGAATGGAGTAAAGTGAGTTGCTGTGAAATATGTTTAACTTCCTCCAAAACTCCTGCGGAGGCTAAATTGGCACTGAAAAATAAATCTGTATCTATCTTTGTTGCTGTATAGAATGTACACTATCTGACTATCTGAAGAAAAATTTCTAGTCTATACCTCAGTTCATGAATATAACATTAGGGAACATAACAAAGAGCATCTAAATTACTAAAGCAAATACAAATTTTGACAAAGCTTCCTTAATGTATAGAAGTGTATAAATCTTGTACAAATCAGTCTGTCTCTGTACAGTCTGTCAATGGCTGCCTTCTCTTATGTACACAGATTGTTCTATGGAAAGCTTTTTTTGTACTATAAAATCAATTACCCTTCAAAAAATACCTTCTGGTGAAAGACAGCCATTCAAGATGCAATAGCAATCTTTCAAAAATGCAGAATTTTGAAGTTTTCTCCACATTTAGAACATTTTTAGTAATACCGACATGATTTGTAAATGAAAATTCATTTTCTGATAAATTTTAATCCAAGAGAGACTAAAAAGAAATTAAAAAAAGATTTCTGTCAGAAATATCATAATGCAATGGACTAGGTCATAATCTAGTTTATTAGTAAAAACAGTTTAGGTAGCTTTAACAGGGTACTGTATACACAGCATAAAAAGAAAGGTTTTTCTGAGAAATACAGACCCACATCTCCATGAGTCTATAGTGAAGACAGAAAAACCTTTGAAATAATATGTACAAAAAGTGAGTTATTTAGTGATTAGATTAGAATTTATGCAACAAACTCTAATGATTTAGCTATAATGAAAAAGCCTAAATCTTCACTGTTTCAGAAAGCTCTTGACATTTTACTATGTGACACAAGACTCTTCTGTACTACTTTTATTCTAGCATAAGTCAGAAAAAAATAAACAGACATTGGGAAGAAAAAGCTTACTAGAATGTAGAAAAAATATGTATAAATATATGTATTTTGATTAAACATATTACTATGTTTTCTCATTATTATTAATAATAATAATCCAAATTAAAATATTAGATTATGCATTTAAAAATGAATAAGCACCAAAAATCCAACCAATAGAAAAAACCCAAATAACTCTGAAGATTATTTTAACTTTAAAAAATTATTTTTA